GGCCATGTGTGGAGGCTCTCATTCTCATGTTCAAGAGGAAATTCAGGTTCACCTTCTGCCTTTTGCAGTAGGGCTGTGATGGTGCCGTTGCACCAGACTCCGTTGCATTTTGCGCAGGTGTCTTCATTGGCGCATTGTGTTCCAAGTTCAGCCATGTGACCTTCGTACTTCAAAGCCATGGCACAAACTTTGGAAACATCAATTGGCCCAGTTGGAGGCATTGCACCCAAGCCTTTTCCAAGCCTGGGATCTTCTCGCTCGCTTGGGTATGCACAGAACCCGCTAGCTGTTGCTGTCATGGGCCAAGTTTGTGCAGTATCGTCGTCCTTTGCCAAAGGGTAGTCCCTGTCCTGCTCCTTGGTTTGGCCTTAGTGGGTCGCAATGGCTGTGAAGCAAGCAGCTGCTTCTTTCGTCTGAGTCTTTCTGTGTCCCGGCTTTGCTCCTTATCCCTCTCCCCCTCCCTTCACAATACAGTGTTCATCTGTACAGATCTCTTGATACGAGAGACCTTGAAGATGATGCCGAACTTCTGCCTCGCTCCGTTCACCCCGCAACTGGCGCAAAGAGAGGGAGCATTCATCCAAGCCTGAGGTTACAGGGAAGGGGAAGAAAAAAGCACCCAAACAAGCTCCAAAAACCTGTCCTGATTGGCAGGCTTCATCAGCGTTGAAAATATCTTCGGCCAAGCACAAAAACCAGCAGCTGCACCTCACATGTTCTAAGTCTTTTGGTCTTTTCTGAGAATGTGAGTGGGAAGGGCAGAAGTGCTTGAGGACTGCACAAAACTTGCGATATTTTTTGCAACATCATCAAGGCACTTAGCTTGGCAAAACCTCAGATTTTGCAGCATGATGATGCATTGGTTTGTGGGCACAGCTTGCGGCACAATGGATTGCATCGGTCTTGGGATCCAGCTTCGCTTGCCAGGCGCTATCCAGTCTCCCAAAAAACAGAATACGCTAACAAAAGAGGTTCCTTGATCCGAAATCCATCAACACCATGGTCATTATGCATCACCCATGTGCAAGCGGCTGTCTATGCACGTGTCCATCGCGCGAACTCACAAATGGACAAGACAACGTAAAGAACCTCTCCTCTCTGCTTTTTGGTGACTGGATCGCTTGGTAGAACAAGAAGCTACTAGTAACAAAGGGCATCGCTACTAGTAGAAGGACGTCCCTAGTAGCTCCTGGCATTACTACTAGTAGCAAGAAGCTACTAGTAATGGATCGCTTGGCAGACCGGATCACTTCTTCAAGCTCCTCGCAAAAGGCACACAAAGACACCAGCTGAGCCAGTGAGCGACAGCCGTAAGCGACAGCTCCTGAGTGCATCCAGGGCATCGTGGATGGGCACGGTGAGGTTCACAGACTGATGTAACCCGATTCCTTGAAGCATCACCTCACGTTGAGCATTTCCTCAAAGGAAAGAACCGATCTTATTTTGATATAGTTTTCTGCAAGCAAGGTGCCAATCGGTAATTGAAGTTTAAGGCATAGCCTTGGGCAAGAGATGTGATTCAAAGTTGATTTGGGATGACACTGCACATCCGTTAAGTCTGGCACTGTTGTGAGCTGTGTACTGTGAGTGGGGCTCTGGCCTCGGCACCGCTCAAGTGGACCACCAGGAAAAGAATCAAACACCAAAAGAAATAGAAGCAAAAAGCTGTTTGTTTGCGAGCAGGAGCTTCTTTTCCCGTCATCCAATTGCAACCAATTGAGTCGCAGAACCCTCACGCTTCTAAACGGGAATGCGAAGAAATCCTCTCAGCCTTGTGAAGAACCGATGCGCGTTTGTGAGGCTTCACTGACTGAATGTAGTCCCTCACAGCCTCGGTTGGCATGGCAATGAAACTCAGGCTAAAGCATCTCAAAGTCAAACAACTTCATTAACTTCAACATGCAATGGCATCCAGAATCTATCAGAACTTATCATGCTGAGACTCCAAATTTCCTGCTCCCTTTATTTGCTTCACCTCCTCTGCCGCTGCTCTAGCGGACAAGACTCTCACGCCGGCCTTGAAAAACACAAGACTCTCACGGCTCCAGGTGGAGATGCAACGGTGTTTTGTCGACTGTCATGGTACACACGTACCCCAGGCCCAAAGCATCCCTTCCCGCCTCGTGTAAAACGCTCTTTGTCGGCTCTACATCCTTTTCATTCAGTGGCTTGCAGGCATCTTCGATGACCTTCGTGAAGCGCATATCCGAACCACCAATATAGCTGAGTACTTGTCAATATCCAAAGCGCGGCTCAGAAACTGAAACGCGAAATCCCATTTCTGCTCCATGTAAAGCACTGGATTTGACGCAAATGTCGAAGACTAAGCCACAGCCTGGCTGGTGCAACTGGTTGTCCTACAAAGCCAACTGGGTCGAAAACAGCAGCTGTCCCAACTGCCATTTGGGTGTGAGGCGCACAATTGCCAAGGAGCAATAAACATCTGTGACTCCAGCATCCTCCAGTTGCTTTGTAAGGCCAGTGTCATTTGCCTTGCAGTTGTCGAAGAAAGCCGAGTACGAGTCGATGTTGTGTTTCTGTCCTTTGTACACCTGAGAATCAACTCCAAAGCGAATTAATGAACAGACCGCATCAATTTCGAGTGACTTTCCATTGGAATCTTGGCACATCTTTGCACCACTTCTTCATGAACAGTTTCTGAATCTATTGTGTTTTGCTGCCGGAAGGCTGACATGTCCTCGGGTTTCACGATTAAGTCTTTGTGGCACTCGCCGCCCCATGTTTTCCTTGCAAAGGATGCCAAAGAGATCACAACGAGTATGCGCGTTCCATTCAGTGTTTTAAAAATATTCAATCTGCAGGTTGTGATTTCAAGCTCACAAGCTTGGGAGACTCTGGTGCTCAGGTTCTGGACAGCATGCCGTGGATAAAGCATCTGCATATGCTCACCGCGATCATCATCCTCGAGAAGAGTCACCTGTTACGCTGACAATCAACAGTAGTAGCTTCTTCTTACTAGTAGCGATGGCCTCCAACCCAATAGCGACGGCCTCCACCTAGTAGCTTCTTGTTACTAGTTATTCATCACGCACTCGATCTTGTTGGAAGCATAATGTGCCTGAGAGAAGGCAGCAAGCGTGCCGATGTTCCTGAACTGCGCCGCTGGCGTTTTTGTTTAATTTGACAGCTCTCTTCATCACCAATCTTATGTTCATGGACATTCAGAGTGATTCAATATGATTCAATCAACTTATGCACCTCAACATCAATCAAGCATCTCCGTTTCTTTGATCTTTACCTTGCCATCATTGGCACTTTCCACGAAGGAGCAATGGTCATGTGGATGCCAGTCATAAGAAATTACAACCTCTCAAGGCTAAACAATGCGCCAACAGGTGGAGGATGAAAGCAGCATTGTTATGCATTGTTTGGTCTGTGATTCACACAATCCTCTGAAGACAGGTGGCATGGTCAAACTCATCTCGGATTTGGTTGATCACAGTCACGATGCTGTCAGATGTCTCGACCGCCAACGAACCCGATATGAAATCATTCTGCACATCGATGACAACAAGTGCCTTGCAAACAGCCAGCTTGCTCGTGAAAAGGTTTGCGTTGGGTGCTTACTTGTGTTCCCACTTGGCAAGCACAGGGTCTGGTGGCATTGGTTCTGTTTGCATCTGTTTGCTAGCAATTCCGCACTGATTGAACAGCATCTTGATTGCAAGAAAGAAAAAGTCTTCTGACTTTTTGTGTGGCACTGCACACATGCTTGAACTCTGCCCAACCGATCAAGCCATACCGCGTTTTGATGCTATGAGCGAAGCACCGTTTGGGGCCCAAAGCCATGGCATTTCAACACCAAGCAGCGGCTCATATGGGTTTTGCTTAGATTCAGGCCAATCCTGTTGCATATATATATATATAGAGCTTGAAACATCTTCTTTTGATGGGTTTGGTTGAGCGCTGGACTGCATATTGGAGGATTTGGTGTAATCGGCATGCTGGTACTTACTAAGCTTACACAGCTAAACTCAAATGCACGCAACTCCAAAGACCACTTGTACAAACGACTCCTCTGACACGACGCTGTGAACACAAGCTGAAGTGTTCACACTGTGCGACCCATCACCTTCGCACCCAGCGGCTATTGGCTTGTTCGTTTTTGTCACAACATCAACAACGTGGGATGATAACTCCGTCTGCGACCTCTGACAGACCTCAAGAAACGCAACACTTTTGTCAAAGTACAGTCTTTCTTTTGACCGTCTTCGATGATGGATCGTAGCATCGAAGGAAGGCATGAAGCTCATTCAGGCCAATGGTTCCACTTTTGTCTGTGTCAATCTCTGTCACCAATTCATCCAGCTCCTGGTCCGTGAGTTCGACCCCTGACAGGGTCACAGGAT